TTTCTGATATTCACTTAATCCTCATATGTTCTAAGTAGAGAGATATATATATATATATATATATATATATATATATATATATATATATATGACATTTAAAATGGCAAGAACTTTACAAAAATTAAATACAATTGTTATCCAATAAAAGAAAAATGCCTTGTGTTTTGGGTTCTTAACTCAATCTCTCACTGCAGCTGGTGTCCAATTTTCTTTAGTGAATAATCGGTTTCGTTTAGCTCATTGAATTGATTGTGATTATATGTGTTCAGCTTAGTTATTGAATATAAATATATAATCTTTATTTGTGTAATGAAAGAATTTAGATTTATGAAAAAGTGAAATTGTATTTTGTTTTTTTAATGCATAGTTTTTTGTCTGATTTTTTCGTAATTGGAAAAGGCTATTAATTTTTCTTATGAATAAACAACAACAGTTTATTTATTTTTATCCGCCCGTTAATATTTCAATACTCATGATTCGCTCTCTTAACGTATATAGATATTTTATTTTTAATGATAAGTGATTAACATGATCGTCGATAGACGATTTGTCTCACTAAAATGGGATAATTACAGTTTTCATCCCTATATATTACCACTAAAACAATTTTGGTTCCCAAAATGTCATGCCCACGAAATTAGTCCCTAAACTCACCACTTTTGTATGATTTTGGTTCGACCGTCAAGTTTCATGGTTAAGTTGGACGGATTTGTCACGTGCAGCGCACGTGAAGTCCATTTGGTTGTTAGTTGTCCGGCTGGACAACACCCAGTCCACCACACACTGCTCCCTCCTCAGACATTCAAAAACTTGCAAAGACAGTTATGCTATTTCCAAATTTCACCTCAATTGAAGGATTCGAAAAGGGATTTTAGAGGTTGGATTTACGGGTTCATTGGGGATATGGAGAATTGAGAATTTTAAAATATTAATAGGGGAGCAGATTGACGTGTCGCTCCACATCACGTTTCATCGGCCAAGTAGACACTGGATGTTATCCTTGGACAACTAACATCCAAATGGACGTCACGTGCGCCGCACGTGAGAAATCCGTCCAACTTAACCATGAAACATGATGGTCGAACCAAAAGCGATTAAAAGTGGTGAGTTTATAGAGTAATTTTGTGGGCGTGACATTTTGGGGATAAAATCATTTTAGTGGTAAAGTATAGGAACGTAAACTGTAATTATCCCCACCAAAATTGAAGAAACTTAAGATCATTTGATGACTTGACTCATAACTCATATACCATGTCTATATCACCAGGTGTTGTAGTTGGTGTAGTTGCCTTCACTATATTGATCATTATCATAGTCGTCTGGTACCTGAAAAGACGACGTTCGCAGACAAGACGTTCGCAGACAAGCCCTAGCCAGGTAAGCAACCAAGATATAGAAAATCTTCTACTCCAGCATGGTTCGCTCGCTCTAAAGAGATACAAATATTCTGAAATCAAGAAAATGACCAAATCATTCAATGATAAACTTGGTCGAGGAGGATTTGGTAGTGTCTACAAAGGTGTTTTACCCGATGGCTCCCTTGTTGCTGTCAAGGTTTTGATCGAGACCGATAGCAATGGAGAAGAATTCATAAATGAAGTTGCTAGCATTAGCAGAACTTCCCATGTCAATATTGTCAATCTCTTGGGATTTTGCTTTGATAAAAACAAGAGGGCTTTAGTATACGAATTTATGCCCAATAAATCATTAGACAAATTCATCAGCAGTAAAGAGTGTTCTATTGATTTGGAAACATTGTACAAGATCGCAATTGGAGTTGCAAAAGGTTTGGAATATCTGCACACAGGCTGCAACACTAGGATTGTTCATTTCGACATTAAGCCTCAGAACATTCTTTTAGACGAAGAGTTATGTCCGAAAATATCGGATTTTGGGCTCGCTAAACTGTGCAAGAAGAAGCAGAGTATAATATCAATGATTGGAGCAAGAGGCACAATCGGGTACATTGCTCCAGAAATATTCTCAAGAAATTTTGGAGGAGCTTCTCATAAATCAGACGTCTATAGCTACGGAATGATGATTCTTGAAATGGCTGGAGCGAGAAAATTTGACGAAGTAGAGACAACTGGTCAGTCGAGTTTGAATTATTTTCCTGACAAAATTTACGAGCAAGTGGTACTTGGTGTTACCATGAAATTAAATGATAATCTCGTGATCGATGATAAAGAAGAAATAGCAAGGAAAATGTTTTTGATCGGATTTTGGTGCATTCAGACAGTTCCATCAGATAGGCCACAAATGTCTAAGGTTATTGAAATGTTGGAAGGAAGTATTCAATCGATACGAACTCCACCAAAGCCGTTCCTCTTTTCTCCTACACTATCAGGCAATGGATTTTCGTCGTCGTTATCAACATACGTTGAGCTGGAACATTCAGTTGATGGTCCTATATAGATAGATATATGATAATTCATTGTGTTGTTTCGAGAAAATCGCATGATATTGACTACTATGTTTGAGCTTATATATATGTAAGGAAAGAATTCAATAATACTTGTTTCATCCATATCATGATATTTTCGACGCAAATCATGTAATCTGTGGAAAATATTTGTATCCAATGATTCGGGGTATTATAGTCATTGAAGACCTTTATTGAGAATGATGACGTGAATGTTGGATTGAGTAAGATTACACTATTTGTTCGAGATGAAAATTAGAACGGTATTTTTATTTAGTTGATGATGATCCAAAAATTTTCTGCTTTGGAATAACATTTTTCATTTCTGAATTCCAAAATTTTGATTATCAGTTTTTCCAATTCTTTTTAGATTGTAATTGAAAAATATTAGGATCAAATTTTCAATCCAATTTTAATTTCCCAAAATAATATTTTGAAGTTCCGATTCTTTTTCCAGATAATTATCTTTATATATAAAAGAAATAAACGTTAGGGCAACCTAAGTAACTCTAATGGTATATTTGTAAATAAAAACTTTATAAATAACTATATATATTCTCCTATTTTGCAGCCCTTTTTTTTCTAATTACTTTCAAATTTCGGCTAGCACAATCCTAATTCACTACATCAATATCTTTTTAATTGTTATTAACTTACTGTTATTTTTATCTCCTATTTTTCAGCCTAGTTTCTCTAATTCTTATTTGTTTCATTTATTTAATTATCAATTTCATATTATGACAATTAAATTTATATGATATTTTTCAGAATGAGTTAGTATTATTAAATTTGTATAAATGTTGATATTACCGATATCACTAATTCATTTTAGGGCAAAATGCACTGCACCCCATTAAAAAACTTACAATTCGCGCTTTCCCCCCTAAGAAACCGAAAAAGAGACTTCCCCCCTTTCAAAATTGTTTCCCATTAGCACTTTGCCCCAAAATTAATTCCGGTGTATTTTTTACTGGAAATCAAATTTCTCCATCCATTTAGGGGTATATGCGTCAAATCATTCTTTCCACCCATTTGAAATTTCTGATGGGTGCAAAATGTTTTTTTCCCTCAAAGTTTTTATTTGACTGTTTAAACTTTTTCATTTACAAATTATAGTTTTTAGGGCAAATTGCACATGACCCACTAAAAATGTCTAACTTTCGCACTTTACCCCCTCAAAATTCTAAAAAGTGAAAGTGCCCCTTCAAAATGTTATTCTTGTTGCACATTGCCCTGATAGCAAAATTTCGATAGATTAATCATCGGCATTTGAGTATTTTTGTTGCACATTGCCCTTATTATATGTTATTTTTGTTGCACGTTACCCATTAAAAACATTATCTTTTTGCACATTACTTTTCTAAAATGTTATTTTTGTTGCACAATGCCCACAAAAATAATATTTAGAAGGGGGATTATCCAGGTTTTGAATTTTTAAGGGGGAAAGTGCGAAAATCAGAAATGTGTACGAGCTGAAGTGCATTTTGACCGAGTTTTTAATGCAATATATTCAACTTTGCATAATTCCAAAAATATTTTCGTATTTGTTATTCATGTAACAAATATTTTCATTATTGTTTAATAAAGTTTTAATAGTCTTGCAATTTAAAGCAACAAAACACAAAAATATAAAATCAAATTAACTGGGGGAAAAAAAATGGGTTAATAGCATGTTGTCACTTGGATTTTGTCCGTTTTTGCACTTTGCCATCTTGACTAAAAAAAGTTGCAAGGGCACACCCAAATTCACTTTTTTTACGCACATAACCACCTAAGCGGAATATTTAGGAGAATCTTCTCATTTTCCGGCACACACGCGATGCACATGCTTAATGGAAGGGTTTTTTGGTCATTTCATCTCAAAAAATTTGTGGGCCCTCTTTTTACTCTTTCTTCTCCTTCTCTCTCTCGCACACCCACACACATACATACATTCTTCCCGCATCACCATCGTCTTCTTCTCTTCTTTCTTTGTGCTTTTTTTCAAGAATCAATCTTTTACCAAAAGAAACTCCTCATAGAGAACTCATATTGTAGTAAATATCATAAATTATATAGAAGATGGAAATTAAACATGTGGATTGAACCATAAGGTACACAACATAAAGCATATGGTACAAAACTACAAATTATCAGCCCAGCATCGTCAAAGATGGAATTCCACTATTTTCTCTATTTCCTTAAAACATAAAATTGGATAAGAAAAAAATCTTGTACCCGGGACAAACGATCAGGCCAACTTGAGGCGGCTTTTAAGGAAGAAGGCCTGATACTCCTCAGAATCTACAGAAATATTCGGGGGTGGCCCCACTGCCGCCGTCGCTGTTGCGTTGTACGGTGGTGATGTTGTGATCGGGGGAGGCGGCCTTCTACAGGAACCGCTGGAATGCCCACTCCGATGAGCTGCGGTTCATCCCCATCATTTTCAACGAGGTCGCAGCGACGGCGACGGCGACGGACGAAGATTGATTCTTGAGAAAAGTACAAAAAGAGAGCGAAAGAGAAGAAGATGATGATTGGGAATGTCTGTATCACTGTATGTGCGTGGGAGTGTGAGAAAGAGAGAGAGAAGAAGGAGAAGAAAGAAAAAAAAATAGGCCGCCTAAAATTTTTGAGTTGAAATTACCAAAAAATCCTTCCATTAAGCATGTGCATCGCGTGTGCGCCGAAAAATGAGAAGATTCGCTGGGAAATTCCCCGTAAGTGGTTATGTGCATCAAAAATGTAAGTTTGGGTGTGTCCTTGCAAATTTTTCTAGTTAAGGTGGCAAAGTGCAAAAACGGGCAAAGTTCAGGTGGCGAAATGCTATTAACCCAAAGAAGATTAGTAATCTTCTTCCCGTCGCACCTCCCCACCAACACCTACCACCAAACAACTTTGTGTCCACCTCATATTCCGCCACCAGGAGCCACTACCACACCGCAACTGCTACACCACCACGAAGAACATAACCCAAATCTAGATACTATGTCGCCCATAACCAACTAACATTAAATTCCAACAATCCATCGTCCAACATAGCACATAGGATTTTAGGTGGCCGAAAAAATTGGAGTGATTTATGTATGATTGGCATCGTCGCAGAATTGGTCGATTTTGGTGACGCAGAAGGTGGGAGCGACGTCAATTAAGTATTGGAGATATTAGTATTAAATGATACATTTAACTAATAGCTGAAACTTTTGTTTGAGGTGGTCATTCAACATCGAGCTACAAAAATTATTAATGAGAATACAAAAATTGAGCACCAATGAGGTGAGCGTCATGAGGGTTATGGTTGTGCCGAAGAAAACTAGTGTTATGAAGAACTTGAAAATGGTGAGAGCATGCATTAGTTGGTGGTTCTTCTGCCATGGAGATGATGGTGACTTTTTATAATGATGAAGAGCGGTAGTAGAGGTGGTGGTGGTGTGGTGGTGGGAAGAAAGAAGGGGATTAGGGTTTTTAAGAAAATTCTAAAATTGCAATTCAGTCCTTATGACTTAGATGGAGGAATTTAAAATCAGGTGAAAATTTTAAAATAAAAACATATATGCCTTAAAATAACGCATATACCCCTTAAGTGGACGGAGATGTTTGAAATCCGGTGAAATATATACCGGAAATTCGAATTTTGGGGCAAAGTGCAACTCGGACACAATTTGGAAGGGGGAGAGTCTCTTTTTCGATTTCTTAGGGGAGAAAGTGCGAATTGTGAGTTTTTTAAAGGGGCAAAGTGCATTTTTGCCTACATATTATTATAGTTGTTATTGTCATATATTCAAGGGAAAATTAGCAACAACCATCTAATTATGTAGTTAAGAAAACACTCCTCCCAAAAATAATTACACAAAACCACTTTAGCTAATATGCCACTCAAATCCAATTTTCATAATTCCAAACCTACCCTTTTAATTGTCTAATGTACTCTTTCAAAACCCTAATTATTTTTGACGTTATTTGTGCCGTTCTTGTTCTCTTTCCTTCTCTTTCCACTCTCTTCTCTTTATCTCTCTTCCTTTTCCATCTTTATAAGATCTGATTTGAGTGTTTGATGGTGGTTCGACGATGGGGCGATGGTAGAAGGCGGCGCTGAGACGGAGTGGGCGGAGGTTGGCAACTGGGGCTTCAAGTGGAGGCGGCAGCAGGGCGACGGGGGCTGCAAAATACGCACTCAATGTAGTTTTGCTTCATTCTACTTATTCGTTATGTTATGGATTTTCAATCTAATTTTGCAGCATATTTTTTGATATGGGCGGCTTTGTTTTGGTGGTTTTGAAGGTGGTAATTCTATTTTGATTGGTTGTTCGGGTTGTTATTTACTTTATTTGTATCAAAAACCGTTAGAATGTGGAAGCGGGGTGGTGATGGTGTGGTGTCGTGGCGACGTGGTGACGATGAAGAGCATATCTAGGAATTTTTGGTGGATTGGGCGAAAGACAGTGCAGAAAGAGAAATTCGCGTAGGTTGTGCCCTTAATCGACTACGTGTGGTTTAATCGACTATGTTGAGTAGTCGATTAAAGTTAATCGACTCCAATTTTTTATTTTATTTTTTGGATTATTTGTTTATTGATTCCAATTGTATAAATCAATTCTAATGTTTGTATATTTTTTTATTTTGTAAAATATAGTTGATTTTGAATTTTTTTGTAATTGTGATTTGTTATTTTTAGTAGCCAGATTAATCGGATATGTTTCATAGGCGATTAATATACCTGGTAGAGAAAAAATATTAAAAAACGAAAAACAATAAAAAATTAAAGAATATCCTTAATCGACTATCCTTCATAGTCGATTAATAAAATTGATTCAAAAAAAAACTACAAAAACGAAGAAAAAAAAGGCTGATGACCAGCGTGTGACGCAATGATGATGTGGGGGCGTGATGCAATAATGATATGGTGAGCGGGGACAAAATTGGAAAAAGGTGGATGCAAATGGGTGGTGGCTTTTCTCAAATGGAAGAAAATTGTTTGGGCCTCTCCCTATTAAAAGAAGTAATGGGGAGACATTCTAAAAAATCCCCTATATTCAACTAGGACAAATGGCAAATAGGCCAATGACAAGAGCATTTAATTCGAAAAGGGACATCCACATTTTTTGTCTTGCAAATAAATCCACATCATTCTAACTTATTTGCAAATAAGGAAAATTTTTTTATATATAACAAAATTTCCCCCAACTCCTTGAAACTCTAATTCAACGTCCAATTTCATGATTT